CCTTCTGCTGCCCTTCCACCTGCCATGCTTCCTCTGGCTCTTTTGCAGGTGGAGAGGATGAGGGGTGAGAACGCCACCAAGGTCAGCACCTTCATCCTGCTGGGCTTCCCCACGGGCCCCAGGCTGCAGTACGTGCTCTTCCTCCTCTTCCTGCTCACCTACCTCTTTGTCCTGGTGGAGAACCTGGCCATCATCCTCACCGTCTGGAGCAGCGCCTCCCTCCACAGACCCATGTACTTCTTTCTGGGTTCCTTGTCTTTCCTGGAGATCTGGTACGTGTCTGACATCATCCCCAAGATGCTGGGCGGCTTCCTCCTGCAGCGGAAGCGCATCTCCTTCGTGGGGTGCATGACTCAGCTCTACTTCTTYAGCTCCCTGGTGTGCACCGAGTGCGTGCTCCTGGCCTCCATGGCCTACGACCGCTACGTGGCCATCTGCCACCCACTGCGCTACCAAGTCATCATGACCACGGGGCTGTGTGTCCAGCTGGTGGCCTTCTCCTTTGCCAGTGGCTTCACCATCTCTGTGATCAAGGTCTACTTCATCTCCAGCGCCACCTTCTGTGGCTCCAACGTCCTGAACCACTTCTTCTGTGACATCTCGCCCATCCTCAAGCTGGCCTGCACAGACTTCTCCACGGCAGAGCTGGTGGACTTTGTCCTGGCCTTCCTCATCCTGGTGTTCCCACTCCTGGCCACCGTCCTCTCCTACGGGCACATCTCGCTGGCCGTCCTGCGCATCCCCTCGGCCACGGGCCGTTGGAGGGCCTTCTCCACCTGTGCCTCCCACCTCACCGTKGTCACCATCTTYTACACGGCCWTGMTWTTCATGTACGTCCGTCCCCAGGCCATTGACACCCGGAGCTCCAACAAGCTCATCTCTGTTCTGTACACGGTCCTCACGCCCATCTTGAACCCCTTGATCTACTGCCTGAGGAACAAGGAGTTTAAGGAGGCCCTGCGGAAGGCCCTGGGCCAGGGTTGGGGTCTACAGCAGGATAGTCATGTTGCCTAGAACCTGATCTGTGAGGACAAAGTGATGTTTCCTATGGCAACTCATGCTCTTTAAATTATCAATSGAATTTTACAAACCTCCTCACCTATTCACAATAAAGAGCCTTCATCTTGGTGTGTGTTCAGAACATGGCAACCAGCTCCCCAAGGGACCGAGAATTAGATGCTTCCTGCCCTGTAGTCATTGTCCCTGCCCCAAGAGAACCACTGCCCTGACTTCTAGAGCCAGATGCTAGTTTGGGTGTTTTGAGGTTTTTATGAGTGGGACCACAGAGCATTCACACTTTACATCCAGCTTCTTGGTTCATCATGATGCCTGTGTGAGTCCTTGATGTCCTGCCTTTAGTGAGAATCCATGCACCACACTGCTGTCTCATCATCACGTGTGTGTGACAAGGCATGCATGCATTTTACTGTTGATGGGCAGTGTTATCGGTACTGCCTATTATGGAGAGTGCTACTGTGAGCATTCTGGTTGACGTCCATGCAGTTTTGCAAACTACACCAACTACCTAGGAGAGACCTAGTCATACAGGCTGTATCTATGATGGCTGCAACGTGAAGTATACATATGGTCAGGTTTAGCAGAAACTACAAAACTGTTTTCCAAAGTGGTATACCAAAGTGGCGTCCATGAGGGGTGCCGGAGAATTGTAGTAGCTCCATATCCCTGTCAACACTTAGTAGTACATGTATTTTTCAATTTAGCTATTCTTCTGGGGTGGTGATGGTATCTCACTTTGACTTGAATTTGCCTTTCCCCAGTGACAAGTGCCATTGAGTACCTTTGTAGCACCTAGTGGCTTACAGTCCTTTGGGATACAACCTAGGCAGTACCCATAATACTGTCTAGGCCTCTTCATGTCTTCTACCTACTTTCACATGGGTTTCTTCCACACACAGGAGTCACATGCTCTGGGTTCCAGGGCTCTGGTGGCTGCGTTTATGCAGAAATCCCTCAGGTGGTGGGCTTGCATCTGTGTCCTCCAACGGTGCCTCTAATGAAGAGAGGTTCTGTTATTCCATGTCCAGTGTCTGGATCCCCCTTTATAGTTATTTTCCATTTAAGACACGTTTGCCCTCCCCCTCGGGCATGAAGATATTCTCCTGCTTCATTTTAGAAGGCTTTTTGTCTTGTTTTCATGTTTGAATATGATTTTCCTTTAAGGGCTGAGATGACCCACTCGTTGCTCTGTGGAGTGACACTAACCTGCTCCCACACCCCTTTCCCTCTGCACTATACCCTGTCAGTAAACCCAGAGTGCATGTCTATGGATCATGGTGCTTGGCCTCTCTCCTGGACCACTACTAGCACTGTCCGCTGCAGCACCTGTGCCACCTGTGGCCATTACTGTAGTTCTGCCATTAACTTTCGTGTCCCTCAGCATGCTCTCCACCCACGTTCTTTTGTTCAAGATTGCCTTGGTCATTCTTAGCTCCTCCCAAGAGGTGGATATATATTTTAGAATCTGCTCATCACTGTCAACAAATGAAAAACTTGTTGGAATTTTACTGGGATTATGTTGAATCTAAAGATCAGTCTAGAGATGAGCGTCATCGTTACAGTATCAAGACCTTCCACCTACGAAGGCACATCCCTCTCTTCGTGCACAGCTTCTTCAGTTTCTCAATGTTACTTTGTAGTTTTTCAGTATAGGGCTCTTTCAGGTCATCCTAGTATTTGAATATTTTAACACAAATAGTACCTTTTAAATTTAAAATTTTTATATTATTTTATGCTGGGACATATAATACATGTTTTAAAGCTTTCTTTTGGACATAATGATATATTTACAGGAAGTTGCAAAGAACCACACTGGGTGCGCCCTGCCCATTACCAGATCTCCCCAGACGGCATTGTCTTGCAGGATGTGGTGCAAGTGCTGCCAGTCCCAGGACACCGACCATGGTACAGCCTGCCGGGCTTGTCCAGGTGCCACCAGTTACACACACACTCGTGTGTGCACAAGTGTAAGTGCATGTGTAGTGCTGTGCAATTTTACCACCTGCACAGGTCACTTCATGGGCATCAGTGTAACCGAGATGCAGCGTCTCCGTCACCAGCATCTGTCTCACACTATGGCTCTGTAGACGGCCCCCTTCTAGCCTCTGGCCACCATGATTTGTTCTCCTCCACATGTTGTTATTTCAAGGATGTGATGCAGAAGGAACCACGCCCCCGGCCCTGGAGACCGGCCTGTTGTCACTTCACCCATTCAGCTGCAGGCGCTGCTCTGTGAATCCGTCATCTGTTTTTTCTGCTGAGCAGCATCCCATAGTGTGGCCTGCCACAGGGTGCTGACCCTCATAGCTGAAGGACAGGGGAGTGGCTCCGGTTTTCCACTGCTAGGGGGGAAGTTCTGGGAACATGGCTGCACATTTCTCAGAGAACCTACATTCTCATTTCTCTGGGGTAAATGCTGACTTGTGTGGAAAATCCGTTCAGATTAAAGGAGACTTGCATATTCTTCACCAGGGCGGCATTGTCATGAGGCCTGTGGGATGAATCATCTTCTCTGCATCTTCCCAGCATCTGTTGCTTTTTTTTTTTGTTGTTGTTGTTTTTTTTGGCCTGTGCTACATTTGTACTAATATCTCCTTGTGGATTCAGCTTACATTTCTCCTACGACCACTGAGGCTGAGGACGTTTTCCTGTGCTTATCTGCCGTCCGAATATCCTCTACGGTGCAGTGCTTGTTCACGTCCTTCCAGGTGTTCTAACTGGATTGCTCATTTCTTCATGTTGCTTGGGGTGCTCTTTACGCACTCCAGATCCAGGTCCTTGGTCAGGTGTGTCTGCAGCGCTTTCTTCCTGTCCTCCAAAGAGCATCCCTCAGCGGGAATTTTTTATTTTGATGAGGTCCAATGTTTCCTTTTACAAATCACATTTTTTATTCAAATCTAGGAAATCTTTCCCTAGTCCCAAACCGCTACCCTCTCTTTCTCCAAAAGTCTGGTAGTTGGCATTTGTTGGTTTTAGGAGTGAAGTTTACATCCAGGTACATTTCCCCGTGGCCACCTTTCATTGAACTTCATTTGCACTGTTGTCAAATGTTGATTGAGAATACATGTGATTTATTTCTAGTTGCTGTGCTCTTTCATTGATCCATGTGTCTATGAGCAGGCGGCCTCTATCAATACATGTTCTTGATGGATGTGGTTATATGGTAAACCTTAACGCTGGGCCACCGATTACTCTGACTTCACCTTTTCCCCCAAATTATTGTGGCAAGGCCTTTATATGTCCACATAAATTGTGTAAGTTTGTCTATGCCTATAGAAAACCTTGCCGATGTCAGGATGGTAATCCCATATAACCTACACATAGACGTGGAAAGCACGGACAATGCCTGTGGTCTTGTGACCATGAAGAGAAGTGCAGTCTGAGGTTTTCTCTGAGTCTTTCACCAGTGTTTTATACTTCTCAGCAAGCAGGCCCGTGCATTGCATTTTATTTGGAGAAATTGTAAATAGTATTCCAACTTTCATTTCCGTTGTTTACAGAATGCTATGCTGCTGTGTGATTTTGTGTTTATCTTTTATCTTACACCGTTGCTGAACTTACCTATTAGCTCTGGGAGATCTTTTATAGATTCCTTTGGGTTTTCTGTGTAAACAATCGTGTCCTCTACAAACGAAGACAGTTTTTTTGCTTATTTTCCAATATGTGTGCATTTCACGTCTTTTTTCCTCCTTTGGACTTGAGTGTAGATCTGGCAGGACCCTGCGCACCCGGGCCAGGGTCGCAGGGCATGGCCCTTCTCCCTAGTGCTCAGGTAGAACCCGGGCAGGGAGGGGTCACACTCCTCCACAGCTYTACCCGATCCCGAAACCGACAGCAAGCCCCGACCTCTGCTGAGAGCCCGCCAGACTTCCCAGCACACCTTTCGCCAGGGCCCCGCCCCTTCCGCCTGGACCCGCCCCTTCCGCCCTATGCAGAAGTTCTGACAGGCGCCGCGGGCACCTCTGTTGTGACGTCATGGTGGCGCGCCGGCCTCAGGAGAGGACCCCTATGCGACCGCGTCCCTACGGTCCTTGAGCCTGGTCCTTGAGCCTGAGTCCAGCGCGCAGCGATGGCCTTGAGGCTGCTGAGATTAGTCCCGGCGTCCGCGTCCGCGCGCGGCCTGGCGGGGGGCGCCCCGCGCGTGGTGAGGCGGCGGGGCAGTGGGCAGCCCGGCGGGCCGGGTCGGGTCTCTGCGCGGCGGCTCCGGGACCTCTCTTCGGCGGGGTCCTGCTGCCCGCGGCATCCTCCGTGGCGGTCCCCAGCGCGGCCAGCCTGGTCGCAGCCGCCGGCGGAGCGCCGCGGCAGACGCGCGGCCCGGAGGCGGCGGCTCGCCGGGTCCTGAGCTCACCAGCAGCTTTGGGGGGGCCTTGGGAAGGGTCAGGCCCCGGGCGGGGCGCCGGGCCCGGGGCCGTCACGAAGAGGACAGCTGGGTGAGATTCGGAAGCACGAGGGAAACTTCCCACGGTGGGGGTCAGGGAGGTGACCTCGGACGTGGAGATGACAGGGGCAAAGGACGCAGGAAACCTTTGGTGGACTTTGGGTGCCGGAGGCTCTGGGCCATGGCTTTGAAGGGGCTTGGCCGCGAGCTGAGGGATGGAGCGTGAGCAGAGGGGGTGCCGGTCTGATCAGGAGGAGAGAGGCGGCTGGCTGTCCTGCTGTTGTGGGCCTGTGAGGGGCAGCCAGACGCCCAGAGAGCCCGGACCCTCACTGTAACCTGGGCCCGGTGCCCAGCTGTGGCGGCGCGTTCTCTGGGGCGCTTCAGATTGAACACGGTGTAGGGTATCCTCAGTGGTCAGGAGGACGTGTGCAAGGGGAAAAGGAGGTCTGTTTTGGACTTGAGGGACAATTAAAGGAATCAAAAACGGTTTATGAAAAGTCGGTTATTTGTGTTATTCTGGGCAGCAGGAGAATGGAGTCAAGGATGCTTGTCAAACTAGTCTCCTGTGCGTGGACCGTAGGTGGCTAGGTTTTGCTGTAGAGGCATTACTCCAGTGAACGCCTTTGATGTATATAGCCCGCTTCCCATTTTGCTTCTGTGGATGTGTGTTTATGTGTAACTTACAAAATAGTGCATTCTTTCTTTTAATTAACTAAAGCTAGGCTTTATTCAGACTTCATTAGTTTCTCCCCAGTGTCCATTTTCTGTCCCAAGATCCCATCCAGTGTGTCCTGTAACATCTACTGTGTCCTTGGTTGTGTGGATTTCTCAGACTCTTGTTTCTGGTAACCTTGATGGTTCTGAGAAGTACTAAGCAGGTGTTTGATTCTCCGAAACCTGGAGGGTTTGTCATGGTTGAACTTGGCTGGGAAGAGGACTGCAGAGGTGAAGGGCTACTGGCATCTCACCAGCACACTAGGAATATGACTGTTGGTTGATGTTGACGTAGGTCAACTGACTGCTGTGCTGAGGCTGATTCTCCACTGTGAGGCTGTTCTTCCCCTGCACCCTGCGTTCTTAGGAGGGAGCCCCTTTGTGCCATGCTTATGGAGCAGGGTTGTGCTCCTTCCCCTGTAGAGTGTCAAGGTTGGCAATTTGGACTCTCCTCCCGGGGTGTGTGAGGAATCATGGGTAGTCACTGCTGCATGTGTTGCCCGCTGTGTCCATGTTGGCTTCTTGTTCCTGTGACTTACCGGGTTGTGTGAATACTGCCTGACTTTTTGACACTACCTTTTTGCATATCAAAAGATGTGTAGATGGCAGGTAAGCACAAGAAAAGATGGCCAAGGCATCTGTCATCTGGGAATCACAAGTGAAAGGACAAAGGAGACAAAAGCATACATTTAATAGAGTGGTAAAAAGCCAGTGGCTGAAGCCAGAGCAGCTGGCAGGACTTGCGCAAGGCAGGAATGCCTGCACAGCCTCTGGGTTGTTACTGTGCCTTTTTTGCAACCTGTGCCCCCCCCCCCCATCCTTCAGTATTCAAGTGAATCAAGTGTGAAAAACATCTGTTTTATGTAAATTTTTTTCTGGGGGTGTGCTACTGGGGATTGGACTTGGGGGGCATGTTCTCACTGAGCTATATCTCCAGCCCTTTCCTTATTGAGACAGGGTCTCACTAAGTTGGCTTCAAATTTGTAATCCTCCTGCTTCAGCCTCCTGAGTAGCAGTGGCACACCCAGCTATTCTTAATATTTTAAATTCTCCTGTATTCTTTTTTATAATAAAGTATTTCATTATTTTATTAAGTAAGTGGTTAATATTTTGTGGTAAGGGTATACCTTAAATTTTTAAGCTCCTCTGTTGTTGGATAATTACATTTGCCATTATGAACAATATTTCATCAAGCATCCTTATAGGGGATTCTTTGCACAGATGAGTGTCCCCTTAGGACAGGTTTCCGGTGCTAGGCTCAGTCGCCTAGATTTAAGCACCATTAGCTGTTTATGAGGGAACTCATTGTCTTGTCCTAAAAAATATTTTGATGCATGAAAAAGTATTTTCTCCTTTGTTGTTGTCTCTTCCAGACATTTGAATGTATGGTTATCTGCATACCTAACACTTTAAAAATGAGCTGTTCAGCTGGGTGTGGTAGACAGATCTGTAGTCTCGCTGACTCAAGGCTGAGGCAGGAGGAGCACAAGTACAAGGCCAGTCTGGGCAACTTAGTGAGACCCTGTCTCAAAATAAAAAATAAGAAGGGCTGGGGGTGCAGCTCAGGAGTAAAGCGATCCCTGGGCCGAATCTCTAGTGCCAAAAGGAGCAAGCTGCGAGGTCACCCTTCATCTCTCTTACTGATGTGTAGAATGTCCTTGTACCCAAGGCACATGCTGCTTGGTATTTTTATTTGGCGGGAAATTATTTTGGCTTCAGTGTGGAGGGCAGATGGAAGTTGCTGGAGACAGCAGGTGAGGYGTCTCACCCTGTGCATGAGAGCCATGAGGATGTCTGCAGAATCAGGGCAGCAGGGGAGCAAAGTGACACTTTGGCCAGAGGTGGAGGGTCAGGAGTCGGAGTGGTGGTGGGGCTGGAGGAAGGAAGAGGGGAGCAAAAGGGACACTCGTGTTTGCTGTTAGGTAGGGGACGCGGCCTGTTGTGAGTGAAAGCAGATTTATGGATTGGAGTTGGAAGTTGTGCTTTGGTTTAGGTCTGCTAGCTCACAGGGGCCTTTAGGAACTGCTTTCACAGGTGTAGGGGACCAGGCTGCAGCTTGGGATGAGCCCAGAGATGCTTTCCTGGAAAGAGGAGGTGCCCTCACTATCTCCCCAGCCGCTTTCCTCTTGCCTTTCTCCCTCCCGCCTGCCAGCCTTCTGCCCTCCATTTTCATGGAACATGGCAAGCATACTGCAGGCTCCATTCTGGCCCTGTGCGCCCTGGGGTGAGGAGGGTGGGTGTAGGCAGGGCCTGTGCAGCCCTGGGGTAAGGAGGGTGGGTATAGGCAGGCCCTGTGTGCCCTGGGGTGAGGAGGGTGGGTGTAGGCAGGCCCTGTGTGCCCTGATGTGAGGAGGGTGTAGGCAGGCCCTGTGCGCCCTGGGGTGAGGAGGATGCTGGGGCTGGCATTTTTGCCGTTGATGGGTTTTTTGTGCTGTTAGTTACTGATGCCTGCAGTGCTGAAGGGTCACGTGCTGTGGGACGGTGTGTCTTCCAGGGACGGCTTCACACTAGTGCACAGTGCGAGCTGCGGTATGGGGCTTTGGCATTCCTGCTTGGTGAAAGGACAACCAAGAAGCTGACGGAATCCAGCAGAGTGATCACTGTGGATGGCAACATCTGTTCTGGAAAAGGCACGCTGGCCAAGGCAATAGCAGAGAAACTAGGTACGCGCCACTGCCACGCGTAGCGGGATTCCCAGACACAGCTATGGTCTCCTGCTGACCTCACTGTACTATCCAGGGGTGGCCCTGGGCCAGGGGAGGCCTCTTACATTTACATTTGATATGTTTGGAGAATCATAGTGTCTCCTGTCCATGCCAGTTACCAGCTGGAGCTGGACTTGCCTGGGCAGTGCAGGCACCACGTGTACTGTGAGCTGTCCTGTGGGCTCTGTGATGGCCTCTGCTGTAAAGCAGAGATAAGCCAGTGTCACACAGCCGGTCATTAGAACCCGTTTCCAGTTTTCCACGGTGCCTTCACTGGCATCCAGTGGCAGCTGCCTGTGTGCACAGAGGACTCCTGTTTGGGGAGGTCATTCTCTATGGGCACAGTATGGCTGTTCAGCCCTGACGCGCTCTGGGCGTGTTGTCAGCAGCATCTCTGTCCCCCAGGACGCACAGCAGAACTGGGGCTGGTTGGCTCCTCGGGTGGCTTCAGACCGGGTTGTGTGTCCTGCAGTCCCCACGACCCCCCCGCGGGAGTGGGGGTCAGTCGCACTTCACCAGTACTTCTCCCTCAGGCCTGAAGCACTTTCCTGAAGCAGGGATCCACTACGCAGACAGCACCACTGGGGACGGGCGGCCCCTGGACGTGGAGTTCAGTGGCAACTGTAGCTTGGAGAAGTTCTATGACGACCCGAAAAGCAACGATGGCAACAGCTACCGCCTGCAGTCCTGGCTGTACGCCAGCCGCCTCCTGCAGTACGCAGACGCCCTGGAGCACCTGCTGAGCACAGGTGTGCCACCGGCTGCTGGGCCACCTTTCTCAGTCCTCTTTGGGGTCCAGTCCTTGAAATCCCATCACTAGTGCTTTTCTATATAGGTGCTGGGGCAAGTCCTGTCTTTCCAGTAAGAGCAGAAGTGTCTTGAGGTCCCGTTTCTGTTGCTGAGGTGGGCGTACTTCCCTGTGTACTGCAGTGAGCTTCACGCCACAGTGGTGGAGGGCAGTGGGGACACGGAGGCCGCTGGGAGGAAGTAGAGTCACAGTTGGGAAGAGGGGCCTTGAGGGAAGCAGAGGCACAGCGGCCAGCACCGGGTGGTTCTGCAGGGCTGGAGCTGGCTGATCCACACAGAGCCCGGGGGAAGTTAGAACTGGGGGGCAGGCAGAACATGCAGGGTCCCGCGGTCCACGCAGGTGGGGGCTGTACAGTCAGGCAGGCAGAGCCCAGGTGCGTGTTGCTCCTACGAACGTGTGTGTTGTGCAGCCTACCTTTTAGACATCTCTACCAGGATGGTGCCCAACTCTCACTGCTGGGCAGTAGCTTGGATGTGACACTGGTGTTTGGGCCACTCCACTTTCATTTTGAAGCACACTTCACCCTATTTTCTGATTACCCATTTCTTAAAATTAAAATCTTTTACTTGTTGAGTGGAAACTGGCCTGTTTCCTTGTGTGCTGTGTTCATCTTTACGTTGAACACGAATGCAAGGCCTGTCCAGGAGCCTGGTTCCACAGGGAGGAGGCTTCTGAGTGAGCAGGTGGGTGGTGACCAGAGGCGGAGGCAGGGTGCCAGGGAGTGAGGGCGTGGAGGGCAGAGGCTCTACAGAAGGGCCAGGGCGCTGGGGCTCTCTCTTCTAGAGGGGAAGGGGAGGGAGGGCTCTGCCCAGTCCCAGCAGGGCTGATTGCAAGGGCCTTGTGCCTTGAGCAGTGTGAGTGACCCTTGGGACCATTGTGACAGTGTGGCAGCAGTGAGGCTGAGAATCAGGAGAGGGGGCGTCAAAGAAGTAGCCTAGCTGAGTTGGCTGGGTCTTGAGGGCCATGGCAGAGACCAAGTTTTCCTGAGGGAGAGAGGAGGCCAGTGGGAGGGTTGGTGCAGGAGTGATCCATGTGGCAGGTGGAAGTGTCCCTCTGCTGTCGGGGACGGGGCCAGGCAGGATCAGGAAGTGCCAGCAGAGGCAGTGCACAGTGGTTGTGTTTGGGGGTGTTTGGAGAAGGCTGGGACGAGTGGGGTGTGGGTATGAGGGAGGGACTTGGGACAGCAGCAGACTGCTGGGCACAGCGAGGTGCAGGGGCTTGGTTAGAAACAGACTCCCCATGTTTGTGGGGCGCCTCTGGGTGGCTGATGGAGTGTCCGTGGAGATGGAAGGTCACTGGAACGGAACGGAGTAGTTTTTGAAAATGTTTTTTTTTTCTTATGAATTTGACTTTGTTCCTTTGACTACATTGGCTTGGAAATGGAATTGTGTTTTTTTCCCCATTTCTAAAATGACCTGACGGTGGGTAGGACTTCCTTCCTGCCTGCTGTCTGAGTCCCGCTGCCCTGTTCTCCACAGGACAAGGTGTGGTCCTGGAGCGCTCCATCTTCAGCGACTTTGTCTTCCTGGAGGCCATGTACAACCAGGGCTTCATCCGCAAGCAGTGTGAGTCCCAGACCCCTCCCTGGCACGCGTGGGCTCTGCCATGGCTGCCCTGGGTCCGCAGCATCCTCGGGGAAAGGCCGTGGCCTAGCCTGATGCCACTGTGGAATGCGCCTCACAGACAGGAGCGACTGAGCTGCCCACCCCCTTCCTCCTGTGGAGTCCCGGGCACTTGAGAGCACACAGCTGACCCACGCTGCTGACCCTCCTCCAGAGCGCTCCAGCCCTGGGCCTGCAGGCTTACCTGTGCTGAGCACGCCAGTCCCCATTGCTTCCTGAGGCGTGGGCAGGGGCCATTTCCTCAGCCTGCCCCTCAGCGTCCTGGTGGTCACCACAGTCCTTTCCCCTCTCTGACGTGTTGCTGCTCCATGTTTTCAGGGGCAGTGGCATCGTGTGGGGCATTGACAGTAGCAGATGAGGGGTCATGACCTCTGTGAGGGAAGACTGACYTGAGTCAGGGTGGGGTCGGAACCTCTGTGGCTGGGAGAGTGTTGGGCAGTTCTTTGACCAGACCATGTGGTCAGTCTGCCCACTCCCCACCTGTGCTGGCACCCCAGCATTCCCCTGCCCTGCCCACTCTGGCGCAGCAGGGAGCTAGAGTGCGGAGGTCAGCTTAAGCGTGGTGTTGATGAACGGCCTTCTGGAGTGCCGCCGTGTGCCCAGCTCTGTCTTGGTGTTTAGGACATGAAGGGGCACAACACAGGACTCACAATCCTGGGGGTGGGTGGGGCTCAGAGCAGCACAGTCTGGGGGGGCCGCAGTCCAGTGTCCCCAGGCTGCTGTGCAGCGAAGCACACCGGAGGTGTCTGGCCTGCGGGGAGACAGGGAATTTCCTCCACAGGGGGCCTGCCTCCAGGGGACCCCACAGACAGGAGCCACCCAGTGGGCAGCAGGCCTCGGGGACTGCTGTGGAGGGGTACTGGAGCAGCAGGGCTGGCACCTGGTTAGGGTGAGGGGGCTGGTGACGGCTGCAGAGCCACTGGAGGGTTGGTCAGATGTGAGTGTGGAGAGGTGGCAGGGGTGGACGGTGCATGTGGTGAGGGGAGTGGACCGGTGCCCAGATTGGAGGAGGCTGGGCTGAGACAGGGAGGAAGGACACTGGCAGGCTGGTGGTGGCATTGTGGAGCAAAGTGGGAGAGTGGCGGTGGGTCTGTGAGAGGAGGATGCAGGGCACAGCGCGCCGGGCACGTTTGTCTTGGGAGCAGCTGTGCAGTGGGGACAGCTGAGACCAGACCTGTGCCCTGGCCAGGGAGGTGGAGCCCTGTTAAAGGGTCCACGCCACGTGAGTCACCTGAGAAACGGGATGCTGAAGAGTCAGGAGGGAGTGGGACTGGGCAGAGTGGGCAGGGCAGGGGAATGTCACCAACAGTGGGAGAGCCACTTCTCCTCCTCCAGGGTCCTTGTCCTTCCTCCAGCCATGTCCTCGCTGGCCTTGGGCCAGGGCCCATCCCCAGAGTGCATCCAGAGTGAGTTTCCAGGAGGAGTGTTTTCTTTTAAGCTAAGTAATTGTCTCTCAGTGGTCCTTACCTGATCACCTGCTGTGACTTCTGGAAGGTTCCTCCATGGCAGCGCCTGCAGAGGCGAGGGTTCCTTGACACTGTGGGTGAAGGTGGTGGCTTCACTCCACACACCGAGTGGTGATTGGTGTGGCCGGTGTGTGACRTCCCTGGGCAGAGTGCTCTGAACAGCACCAGCTCTCCTCAGCACCGTGGCTGTCTTGTGGGGCTGGCCAGTGGGGCACTCTGTGACGCCTTGGTGGGATCGTCCCGCCTCAGCTGCGTTGCTGGCTGTGGAGAAGGCCAGGCCTTAGTGCATTGCTCTGGAGCCCTGCACACACAGCAGGCACCTGTCACCCTCCTATCCACACGTGTGCTGCCCTCCTGCCCGGCAGGTGAGGCAGTGGGAGCATGCTGGCTCTGTCCCTGGGGTGCCGTTAGGTCGCAGTGTGAATCCGTGCTGGACATTGTCTGAGCTGAGGACACCTGATGGTTCCAGCGTTAGACACCAGGTGGAAGGGACACGGGCTCGGTGGCTGCTCTGAGTGCAGTGCTGCTGTGTGCAGTGCCCGTGGCCCTGTGGCCATCTGCCTGTGAGGGCGTGCTCAATGGCTTCAGCTGACTTAGGAGTGTACGGTTGGCACAAGGCCTGAGGATGACGTGAGCTCTGTCCTTTACTCAAGGAGGGGTGTGTGCAGAGGCCTGTCGAGGGCCAGTGACAGTGGCCTCTCTTGTGCCAGGTGTGGACCACTACAACGAGGTAAAGAAGATCACGGCCTGCGAGTACCTGCCTCCCCACCTGGTGATCTACGTGGATGTGCCTGTGCCGGAGGTTCAGAGTCGGATCCAGAAGAAGGGAGATGTAGGTCGGCCTGTGGAGCCCATGTTGCTCTCTCAAGGCCACGTGGGGTTCTGGCGGTCCTCACTGGGGTGACTAACACCAAGCAGGTCACAGCTGAAGAAGGTGCCCATATGGGTGAGGAGGCTGGGCCCAGCCTGGTGCTGTTTCCGGAGGGAGCTGCCTTCCCCAGTGCTGCCCAGGCCCCTGTTGTTCCTGGGCCACCCTGGCTGTCCCCGTGGTGGTGGTGGGGGGGGGGGGGCGGGCCTTCCTATTGCTCTTGAATTGAGCCCCTCCCTCTTTTAACTCCTTCTTGTTTCTAGGAGAGTAGAAGGTTGCTCTCTGCCCTTTGGGCTGGGTCTCAGGTGGCTCCTAGGAGCCCTGCAGGCAAGGTGGAGGGTGCTGGGTGGGCACTGCTGTCCTGGGGCCTTTCTGGCCAGTGCTGCAGTAGGGACATGTGATCTCTTTGGTGTGTGAGGAGGATGCAGGTGGCGGCAGCCTGTGTTCCAGGGCTGTCCATTGTGTGGGGTTCAGCGGTCCCTTCTGAATGGCAGGCTCCTGTGGGGGAGCGGAGGCTCCTGTTGTCCTTTGCTGTCCCTGGTGGCCTGGGAGACTGACTCCTCATCTCAGGTCAAGCATGTGTGAGACTTGCAGTGTCCCTGCTCATCCTCTCTGTGCCTCAAGCTGCCTGAGAGGCTGCTCCTGGTATGATCAGTGACTTAGACTGGGGACATGCCCTCAGGCGGCAAAAGGAGGGACCTGCAAGTTGACAATGTTTGATCGTTTGCCAGTGGAATAAGATGACACTTCCCCTGCTAACATTCATTGAGAAAATCTAGGGCATGTATTCCAAATTCTCAAGGTAACTATATTGTTATCTTAGACAACAACATTTTGGAAATAATTCTGAAGTCAAAATTAGAGGTATCAGTTTTTTTCCCAAGTAAAGTGTCAGATGGATGATGTCATCAGCTGAAACGAGCACTGAGCGAGACACTCGGAGACCTCGGGCCAGAGAGATGGTAGCAGAGGCCTGTGTCCTGTCTCTCGGTGCAGGCTGTGCCTGTACCTTGGGCCTTTGGAAATAGCCCCTTCCCTGCCCCAGGACAGCTGGTCCTGGTCACCGGATGCTGGCCGGCGTTTGTGGTTCACATTTCTTTGTGTGTATGGGGCTGGGGTTTTGGTCACATCACGGGTGGTCTTTCACTCTGGGCCATAGCCAGTGTGGGCTCCCCCGCACTCCTCTAGTGCTGGGTGCCTCCTGCAGGCTGGCTCTGGGAGCTCCTGCCCGGTGACAGCAGCTTTCCTGAGGGAGTGGCCCCTTTGTGGACAGAGCCATGAGGGTGCAGCTGGTCCTGTGGTCCCAGGCCTGGCTGGTGCTGGGCTGCGGGCACTCCAGAGATGCTCCAGAGTGATTTTAATGTTTTCTTCTTTTTCTTTTTTAAACAGCTTTACTGAGGTATAATTTATACTTCTTAAAATTCACCCAATTTAAGGTGTAACTCAATGATTTTTAGCAGTCACCAAATCTTGGCAACTACACCATCAGCCAGTTTAGGATATTTTTATCATTTTGTGAAGTCAAAACAGTAGGCTTAATGCTTTCTCCCCCTCCCCCGACAAGTATTCACCAGCGCAGTGGACAGCTGTGTGTGGGCAGTGCGGGCGAGTTCCTCACTCAGTGGGCACGCGCTCTCCTGGCAGGCCCTTGGTAACAGGACGGGAATGCGTCAGACAGAAGCAGAGGCACAAGTAGGAGAGAAGTGCAGAAAGAGAGCTCAGCTTAGCCCCTGGGTTCCAACCTGGCCCCTCGTGATTGTATTCAAGGATTAATACGGGGCTGGGGCTCAGAGGTAGAGCCCTCACCTAGCCTGCATGGGCACTGGGTTCGAACCTCAGCACCACATAAATATAAAATAAAGATATTGTGTCCACCTATAACTAAAAACAATATTAAAGAAAAGAATATAATTGACTTCAGATGATAATGGAGGCGAGAGATAGGGAGCATGGGGGTGGTAAGAAGGGAGGTGTGGAGAGACYAAGAGAGGGTCTGCGACAAAGAGCGGGTGCTGAGGGCAAGCTGGGGTGAGGCGAGCGGCCTCCATGGTGACTGTGACCTTTGTTGCCTGTACTTGGGCCCAAGTGCAACAGCACAGCCTCTAAGGGGCTTCCAGAGCCTGTGCAGGAAGGTCCTGCTGGGCCTCCCCTGGGACTCTGCAAGCCTCCACACCACTCAGTGGTTTGCACTGTACACGTGCACAGGTTAAAGAACAACGTCAGAATGTCCCTGTGTGAATTTTCTGCTTTTGTTTAGCCACATGAAATGAAGATCACCTCTGCCTACCTCCAGGACATCGAGAATGCCTATAAGAAAACCTTCCTCCCCGAGATGAGGTGAGCCAAGCTTGCGCCGACYGCAGGAGCAGCGCTGCTCTTTCACGAATCGGTCCTCACCCCGCAGCCCGGGAGTGGGCTCTGGCTCAGGGCCGGGCTGGGGGTTGTCTGAGCGTCCGGTGTTTTTGAGCAAACATTGTAGGAGACATTGCAGTTGATCTTTGTGAGATGATTTGTTTCATTCTTAAAATTTTGTGGGGCACAAAGAAATACCCAGTCCGTGTCAGGGTTTAGCACTGGAGGGCTCATGTGTTTTCACTTCAGGTGACAACTGAACATTCCTGTCCACCTAGGAGGGCTGCTCGAAGCACTTGGCCTCCTGCTGGGTGTGGCCACAAGAAGTGGGGGGGGCAAGTCTCTGGGTGCTTCCCACTCCCATCTCCAGAGGGCTGGCACCGAAGGGGAGCCAGACCTCCTTCCTCTTCCCTTTGGAAAGCTGGGCTGGGAGAGGCATCTTTCTGTCCACACTCTCGCTTGTCTTCCTGGGGTCCTTGGTGTCCATGTTACTGCTGTCACTCAGGTCCAGTTAAGCTGGGTGGTTTGAATAAGGCTTTTATTAAAGGTTTTCAGTAGGACAGTGTACTTCTAGGTTTCACAATTCTTCAAAACTTAACCTTCTTTTGATACCTAAAAACTTAAGCTCATGTTTAAAATTTCAAAGTAATCGAAAATTGTGAATTAAACAAAGTGTAGTAATTTTGGAAAGAGGCTTCGTGTTTGAACTGAGAGTGTCCCGCTGTCAGGTGGTGCTGAGGTCACGGAGCTGTTCTTCCTCAGCCTGTTCTCCGTTTTCAAGACCAGAGGTGCCAAAAAAAAAAAAAAAAGGCTGTTTGCCCATCTGTGCCCAGGGGAGTATGCAGAGCTGTGTGAGCCGCATGAGCAGAGACAGTGACCCCAGAATTTCTGTCCAGAGTCTCCTCCTGACCTTTGACCACCAAGACACCATGGCAGGGAGCTCCAGGGGTCTGGTGTTGTCTAGGGGTGGTCCTGCAGGCTGCTGGTGGGCAGAGACGTGAGCAGTGGTTCTGAGCGCCCTGCCCTGGTGCCCTGGTGCGCTGTGGGCTTGGGCTGCACGGGAGTGTCGCTCCTGAGGTCCCACATTCCGAGGTGCTGGAACTCTGCCGCCTCCTCCACATGGTGTCCTGGTGTCCCCATGGTGATGGGACCTGCGTGTGGAGCAGAAAGCTCAGACATTCACCTCAGGTTACCTCAGGTCTGGCCGTGGCTTGCTGGGCAGAGCCCCAGGAGCCGTTTCTGGGTTGTGCAGTCTGGGTAGCTTCTGAGGACATGTGTCTCAGAGCCCTGCAAGCCAGCCTTGCTGGGACACTGCTGCTGCCCAGGCCCGCAGCCCGCCCACCCTACCTATTGAGCTGGATGTCAGCCTGGGGCGGATCCCCGTCTTTTTCTGCAGCGTCCTGTCCTCTTGTCTTTCACACACAGCCCGTCCTTTCATCAGAAACCGTGATGACCAGAGCTGGTCTCCTGCAGCTCTACAGACCACTGGGTGCCAGTGTCCCCACCTCTTGGCAGGGGCAGTGGCTGTGTGAGTGCCTTGAGGGGCGCTGTTCTCTGATTGAGCCTTTCCATGTGGACCTTCAAGGCCACTGCTACTCCCTGGCTGTGCTGGGCTATACCTCACCCCGGGGGGGCAGCTTCCCTGACTGCCCGGGGGGCACTGGAGTCTGAAGATCTAGGGGTACAGCGAGCCGCCTTCCCGGGGTCCTTAGGCCTCTTTTTCTGTAGTATAACCTTATTAAATTCCCAGGTCTGTTGTGTGGTCTCTCTGTTTACAAGGGACAAGTAGGCATCAGAGACGCCCTGAGGATGGCTGGTTCTGTTGGCAGAGCTGGTGGCACCGTGCTGCATGGAGCTGCTTCTGATGGGCAGCAAGGATGCTCACTTGCCCCCCTCTTCATTCTGTGCGATCCCGCCTCCCTCTGGTGCTGTCCAAGCCCACGCTGGACGGTTGCTTTGCGAATCCTCGCTCCCGGGGTATGGGGCAAACCATGACAGGACTGTAAAGACTGCTCTGTGGTCGGTGTGCAGGCACCCTCTCCAGGGCCCGCCTGCTGCAGGGCTGGGTGGAGCCCTGTGCTCGGGGGCACTGTGCGTAGACAGTGTAGGCACATGTGTGAGGTTTCTGTGTGTCGTTGGTTTGTGGGGTTTTCTGCGTGACTGTGTCATACCATACATTGTTTAGACATTCTGGTTACGACCTCTCCTGCTCCACAGATTCAGTAAGCTGCAAGCATGTGGACAGATGCAGTCTCTGTTCATTGTTACGTGAATTCTTCCTAGACAGCCACATAACTTATGTGTCATTTGTCAAGTTTAGGAGGATAAGGTCCTGAAGTCCTCTGTGCAGTGTGCGTTACTTTAAGCACTGAAGTGTAGACCAGTGACATGCTGCAGCTCTGGGAAGGACTGGGACCTAATGGTCTTCTCTCAGAAATTTGCTATGAAATTTGACTATTTCAAATAAAATTTCAGGACAAATAGGTCTCAGCCTAAGGTTTCTACGTCATTTGTGCTTTAGAATCTCAGGGTGCTTTGCAACAGTGGTAGTTGGGGGTTTTCTGACTGAAGAGTGTCCAGCATCTGCCATGCTGGGCGGTGAGGGCACTGTAGTGGGCCTCCTGGTCTGGCTTACCAAATGGCCTGCCAGTCCGCACAGCTGCTCTGGAGGTGGACAGAGGCAGCTCCTTTGCAGGGTGAGGCCCACCTGTGTCATGTCAGCTTGCGGGTTTTCAAGCATCCAAGGCAGGACAGCCAAGGCCACTAGATGGCCAGTGAGATCTGTGGGGGGAGGCGGTGCCGGCAGCAGTGAACTCTGCCCCTTCTTTTTGAGACAGAGTTGAGCCGTTGATTATCCAGTGTCCAGATGAAGGACTGAGGACCAGGGGCCTGGGGAGCTGCTACCATCTGTGTGGTTTGGTCTGGTTCTCCTGGGAGTTTCCTGTGTCCCTGGGTTTTGAATTCCAGCAGCTCAGACATTCTGCACCCCACAGCCTCTGCCTATTGCCCTTGGTGCCGTGTTTGGTGAGGCCTGGCCACATTGTCCTCTCCTATAACCAGAGCTGTGGCCAGTGTGGGTGTGGCGGTGGTGGCCCATGCACCACGCCTTGGGCATCACAGTCCAGGGAGTGGAGCCAGGGCAAAGACCAGCAGTTACGGCCGCCAGGCCATGGCACGTTGCTACTGCTCTGCTGCGCGGCAGGACAGCCCCAGCCCGGTGCCTGGTCAGGGCCACAGAGTGTTAGTGGAGCAGGAGATGTGTGTGGCCTGTGTTGGCGCACGTGTGCACTGCGGCCCAGGAAGGCTCATGTGGAATTTCTGCTTTTCCCTGCAGTGAGAAGTGTGAGGTCTTGGTCTACAGTGCGCGGGAGGCTGAGGATGCGGAAAAGGTGAGCAGACGTGTAGCATGGTGAGTCCCCCTCCCTGTGGTTCCCGGGTGCCGTTCTCGAGGCTCATCTACCCAGTTCCATTCCACTGTCTTTGTGCCCATCAGTGTTTCGTGGTCCAGAAGCAGCATCTAGCCAGCCCATCACCTCTTGTGGCTGTGACATTTTGACTTTTTTAAAAAACAGCTTTATGATCTTAAAATGGTGGGCGGTGAAGATGCAGAACCTTGGTTGCCAGCCTCGGTGTCTGTGTTAAACCCTGGTGAGGCTGAAAGCCGGCCTCATCGGGGGCAGTTGGTCACTCCTAGAAGCTGCTTTCCCGGGTCTGCGTCTGTGAGCTCCCTGCCAGTCTCAGTGGTTTTCAGGCACTTCATGGGGATAACCAAAAACTTGTGAAGCAGAATCATTCAGGACGCTTGCCCTTCCAGATGCAGAAGCGTGTGCATGTGCCGTTGTGCGGCCACGGTGGGCGAGGCCGGAAACAGGCCGTGTGGGGGTCGCAGTTTGGCAAAGCCACGTCCTGAAGGGTAACAAAAAATGAAGTGGAGGAAATGGGTTAGTTTTTGAATGGTATTGAAGCATTTGAGCGTCCATTCTGTGTCCTGTGTCACACCTACATCACCAGGAGACCAGCAAGGCGGGCATAGGAATTGTGGGACCACATGCAGGCTGCAGACTGCTGTCCTGGCAGAGGAGCTGGCAGAGTGGACACTGAGTAGCAGCCCTGCTGGGTTCCTCCCTGTGCGGGAGGGAAGGGAAGGGAAGGGGCTGGGCGGCTCTCCCCAAGAGCAGTGTCCCCAGAGAGACGGAGCCTCTGTCCTAGCAGCTCTGCTGCTGGGATAGTGGGAGTCGTGCTTTCCCGAGCTCTTTTTGTAGTGCTGATTGTGTATTTTCACATTATTTTTATACCTGTGTTAGAATATTTCAGTGGCACGCATCTTAGGAGAATGACAGCTCTGACTCCAAGACTGCGTTGTTGTCGAAGGCCATTGTTGAATGCACAAAGTTTGTTTTTTTTCCCTTTCTGGGGCGGGGGGGGGGGGGTAGCCCTGTGGGTACACAGGGTCTCCCTAAATTGTGAAGCTGATTTTGAACCTGTGATCCTCCTGCTCCGCCCTCCTGTGTGGCTGGAATTACAGGCACCACCAGCAGTTATGGCCGCCAGTCCATGGCACGCCAGCCCAAACTCTTGAAACTTGAAGGTGGTGCTGAGTCAGGCGTGTTTGGGAGATAATGGCGTGCAAGGGTTGCTGTGGAGGTGCCCGTCAGGGAGGTGTCTAGGGCAGGAGGTGCCAGCCAAGTCCTGGGAGTGTGTTGATGTGGGTTCTCCTGTCATTTGTGAGTCGGCCCTGCCTTCCAGAAGGAGCCTGTGGGGGAAAGGGAGGTCTGTCACGAGGCGGGCTGCTCCCTGGCCTTGTCCTCCTCTGGGTGCCCCTCCCTCCCCGCCTGTGAGGTGGTCCTGCACACCCCACCTGGAGCGCTGGGTGGGCCCTCCTGGGAGGCAGTGCTCAGGCCTCCTGAAGGGCGTCCCCTGTGTCCCCTTCACCTCAGGGTGACCCTTCTGACAGGCACTTGGAGGTTACGGTGTGGTTGCGTGCAGACTTCCGCAGTGGCTCTCCCTTTAAATTGGGCTCTTCCTCTCCCAGGTGGTGGAGGACATCGAATACCTCAAGTACGACAAGGGGCCGTGGCTCAGCCAGGACGACCGCACCTTCCACAACCTGCGGCTGCTGTGAGTGCCCCTGTGGGCGGGGAGCAGGGGCAGCGCTGCCTCCAAGTGCAGTGCCTGGGTCTGGTCCGCCACCAGGGTTCAGGGCTCAAGTGAGGCGTTAGTGGCGCCAGCCAGTACCGCGTGTATTGATTTCCTCTTTCCTTCCAGGCAGCTCTTGGGTGCCTGGTTGGGTCGCTACTTATTTGGCTGCCGACATTAATTCAGCAGAGATTCTGCTCCGCTCTGCGCTGGGCACTGTTCCAGGTTCAGGGCATGTGGCATCAACGCAGAGCTGTCTCCTGTGGGGACACAGAAACAGCTGTGCTGGGTCCTGGAGGCTCTGAGGAGGGGTGGGGCTATGTGAGCTGGGCAGCCCCCGGCACTGTCACTGTGCAGAACCCTCCTGCAGAGGCCTCAGCAGAGCCAGGACTGGGCCCCACGCATCGGCCAGCGCAGGGGCAGCAGGTGGAGAGGCTCTGAGGCGGGAGCGAGCCCTGGGTGCCCAGAGTCTGGGTCTTGGTCCTGCGACCTCTTGCCTTCCCCGCTGGCCTCCTGCGGTGGTCAGCACATGTGGGACTCCCGCTTTCTCCTGTGTGGACCACGCCATTCCTGCCCCCAGGGTCTGCTCCCGCAGCCTTGGATGGGCTCTCAGGGCACTGAGCGTCTTGCTGGCTCACAGCCATCTTCACGGCCTCGACGCAGCCGTGCTCTGGCCTCCGTGGGTGGACTCCAGGTGGCAGGAGGCCTGTCTGTTGCACGAGGGCCTTGGCACAGGAGTCACACAGAAGCGCACTTGGGAGGGAGATCTGCGGCCAGCTGTCTTCATCACTTTTAGGACCACAATTCCTGCAAAGCTCAGGAATTAGTAAAGAAAGTGCTGTTGATTTTGATGACTTATAAATGTGAATAGTTAAATCATAGCAGTAGGGCTGAGCTGGGTGCGTGGTACTTGGGGTCTGCTTTTCATTTGAAGTCCTGGCTGCCACCTGGGCCTTTCTGGGTCATCTCTGGCCATCTCCCAAGAACACATTCTCAGAGACCTTGCCCTTCAGCATGGCAGCCTCATTCCCCTTGGCTTTCCTGGGCCTACCTGGGGCAGGGATGGCCTTGGTGCATGGTCCTCTCACCTTGATCTCAGAGGGACATGACGGTGGTGTTGAACCCCGACATGAAGAAAAGACCACTGACTCTAATTTTAAATCAAATTAAAGCAAGCTTATATTTGTGTGCACAGGAGCAGGCCAGGACTGTCTCTCCTGAAAACCCCGGGCTGCAGACCAGCCCCCAGCTCTCCAGGAACACGATTTTATAGCACAAAAAGTTGCAAAGGCGGGGGTGTCTTGAGAACTCAGAGATAATGGGGTTCTGACAATCATGGTACAGAGGCAGAGAGCAGCCTAATGATGGACGTGGCATGATAGTTCAAGGAAGGGAGCAGATTCAGATCCCCACATCAAGGTTTATGAGGCCCCCTGAGGTTTCAGAGAGGGCTGTTATCTGGTCAGGCATGGGGGAGTTCAAGGCACGGGCAGGCATTCCAAGCAAGTTTAGAAATCGCAGGAATTTATAGTGAAGCAGAAACTAACTTTCCATGACTTTGTGACAAGATGGCTCCCAATCTTAAGAGGGAATTAGGCTGGGCTCCTCAGGTGGCTGCAGAGGTGGCCCTGTGCCTGGTGGCAGCACCTTCTTGGTGCTGCTGTGTCATTGGCCCTTGATCTTGATTGTGTGGCAGGACTGCGGGAGGTGAGTGAAGCAGTCCTCTCGAGAGCTCCAGAGGGTCGGTGGCTCGGGGCACATGTAACTAAGGGTCCCGATCCCTGCAGGGCCGAGCTGGGCGTGAGGTTGAGCTGAGCTTCCCTCGGTGTCTCTGGTGCAGGGTCACTGGCAGAAAGTACCAGTGAGTCTGCCGAGTCCCTGTGCTCCCAGCACTGCTCAGTGGTGTTCAGGTCACAGTCGTGTTTAGGAGTCAGATCAGACTGGTCCTGTGTTCGTCACTGTCAGTGAGACCTGCCCCCCAGTTAAGGGAACGGTGCTGGTGTAGCAGGTGTGGGGAGGCCACAGGCAGGCAGATGCAGCAGGTCCCTCCAGGCTGTGGTCCTGGGACCTGTCGCTCTGCACAGGAGAGTGGGGAGCTAAAACTCCGAATGTCCATCCTTGTGCCCTAGCAAAGGGAAATCCCCATCGGACCCCAAAGCCAGGCAGCAGAGCTTTGCCACAGTGGGGGGGAGTGAGGCCCGGGCACAGAGCGCCTGGGGCGGGCCCTTCTCCTGCGGAGGCCACAGGGGGCAGCGCTGCGGCCAAGCCTGCTGCTGTTTGGCGTCTGCCGGGAGAACTGGCCCCACTGTCCAGGCTCCCGAGTCACGGCTCTCTCCTCCCCAGGCCCCCGGGAGGTCTTGAGCCTCGCAGGTCCTCTCCTCACTGTCACAAGGACATCCTGCTCGGGGGGCTGCTTCCACAAGCCAGTCCCAGGTTAATGACGGTGCTGCCGTCAACGACGGGGAGATTAACTTAGTGCTCCTGCGGGGGCGAACTGTCCCTTCTGAAGTTCCCACAGAAACCTGTGGCCTAGGTCCTGACCTCAGGGTGCCCTCGGCAGACCCCGCCAGGAGCCAGCTCCCTTGGCCACTCCTCTTGGCGGGTTTCCTAGTTGGCTCCCTTGCTTCCGCCTGTTCACCCCGGGGGCTGGCCCACCTGCTGCCGTGTTCCAGGTACTGGATTGTTCATCAAAGGAATCCAGAGAAGCCTGTGACCTGCCGTGGTACTGGGCCACACGTCACTGCCCATTACCAGTTAGTACCTAACAACTTGACCTGTGGTGCCTGGTATTTTCATCTGTAAACTTTGGCACAGAAGTAAAAGGCTAAGCTCTATTTTCTGAAGAGAAAACAAGACCGCTCTCCGTATGAGTTTTGTATGTTGTCCATTTCATGGACTCACTGCCCTTGAAAATTGTCTTAAGCCAAGTAAACACAGCTTCCTGACCCCCGAGCGTTCTCTGTCCACGTCGCGCCCTCTCAGGGCTGGACTTGAGCCACCGAGGGTGTTCGCCTGGAGCCACTCCCGAGGCCACCCTCAGAGGCACTGCTGCCTCACAACACCGCCCAGCTCCCCCGGCTGAATGACCTGGCGCGGCCAGCACCACGTTTTCATAAGCTGGCACCTACTGGGCACTGTCGCAGTTGGCCCGTCCTTGCCTGGGCTCCATACCCAGGGATGCAGCAGGCAGTGGACTAGACGTGGCTGGGCACTGTGACTGCTGGACATGTGCGAGCTATCCCTTAACCCTGAGTGCGTGGCCTCAGGACTCTGTAGCCTTCACCTGGACGATTGCAGTTTGTCCCCTGTCGTCCCTGAGCTGGGTGGCCTGAGGACTGTGCTAGTCTGCACCCCACCTGAGGCGTCCCCAGGTGCACAGGGCTGGTGGTGGTGTGGGGGAGGATGTGTCCGGGCTTCCTGCCAACTCCTGCCTTCCTCTGTGAGGGACTTGAGTCCCCTCAGCTGGGGTGTCCACAGAGCCCTGAGATGGCTCCCGGGACGGCCCCCAGGGCTACCTGGATGCCTGTAGTTGATTTGCAGTGCACTGGCCCTTCCTTGTGAGGACGGTGCAGCAGTAACAGCTCCTGACGATGGCTGAGCTGTCCGTCTCCTCCTGTGTCTGAAGCCCCGGTGTGCGTCTTGTCCAGATGCTCGTGTTTGTGTGCCCTGGTCACTGCCCCTCGAGGTATGTCTTCCCAGCCCCCCTCCCGCCCCTCCTCCTGTGGCTGTCCTTAGTGTCCTACCGTCCCTCTGAATGTGCAGTTGTATCATGTGCACTCTGTTGCAAGGTACGTGGAGATGTGCTCTGTGGCTCAGGCCTGGAGACTGCGGGCCCAGGGGCAGTTGTGGGTCAGCCTCTTGCTTGTGCTGCAGGGGCCGGAGCTACCGGTGCCCTGGGCAGGTGACGCCATCTTGCCCTCCTTGCACTGACCTGGCCTCTACCTGTCCTGTGTCCCGTTGGAGTGGTTCCTGTCTGCCTCTCTTGCTTCTGCTGCTTTGTGGTCTGTGCCCATCTGCATCTTGCTCTCCTACCTGTCCAGTACATGCCTTTACCAGGCTAGTGTCCAACACAAATGTCACAAGACCTGCTGTTTCTTTCCAGAATCTTTTGGTGGCTTGTCCTCATCCGGTTGTAGATCCAGATTTCATTTTCTAGAGTTGACCCAGAACCCGAGGTGTCTGCCCGGCCATGGCCTGCACTGAGCCTGCCCTGCCCCTCTGCCTGGATGTGGCCTGCTTGTCCTGGCGCGCTCTCAAGCCTGTGTGGAGTCGCTTTCTCCTTTTCTCCCTGGCTCTCCTGACTGCCTGTGGGCGTGTGTGCCCCTGTTGCCTGGTGCTGATTCTGCCAGGCAGAGCGTGAGCCGGCCACAGGAGGGGTGCTGTCCTGAAGCCATAGCCTTGGGATGTCTGGCTGGCCCCTCTAGTGACGGACGGTACCTTGTCAGTTTCTAAATGTTTTCTGAAATGCTTATTGATCTTGATTCTCTACCATGCCTAAAACTGATGTCCTAAAACCATTATTTTAGTAGTTACTTGGTCATCTGCTTATCAAACAGAAGGATCCTGTAATTGCCTGTCTCATACGCCACAGCGCCCAGTGAGTCATCCTGGTTCAGCTCGCTGTGGTCTGGTCCTTTCCTTTTCCCCTATTCTTTGTCCTCCCCTGGACATCTCGTGACGTTTTACGATGGTGTTGTCTTTTTTTCCTTTGATCACCATTTCTGAAGTGGACATCGTGACTGGTTTCTACAATGATCATCCTAGATGTTTTGTCCAGACCGGCTGAATGGCCAGTCCAGAGCACCACGGTTCCGCCCGAGCCACGGTGTAGGTGTGTGATCCGCTGTGCGTGCCCATGCTGAGGGGCGGTGACTGGCTTTGGTCTTGCTGGCCCTGCGATTCCCTCTGTGGCCCACGACTGGCGCCTGCCTAGTGGGCCTGGCCTGTGGGGACGTGGTTCCAGCGGGGCGCCGCATGTGCAGGCCTCTGCCTGGTCTCCCTGCTTCCCAGAGCCCAGGCCTCCCTCTCCGAGCTGCCCCCAGCTTGGAGCCCTTCAGCTTTGCAGCCCGGCGTCCCACACTGCAGAGGCTTGGGGTCCCCCGTGCAGGTAGGTCTCCCTGCGGAATGCTGGGGGCGGGATGAGTCGGCTGGGACCTAGGAGAAAGTGGACTTTCTGGTGATTGGGACACAGTTTGAGCCATAAAATCTTATTTTCCATCTTATTCTTTTCTGTCTTCCAGTCTCACTCTTTTCTTTTGATAACTGCAAACCACACTGACGCAGTTTTTCTTTTTAATTTGGACGCTCCGCCTATGATGATGGGTTATTCTGTCAGATGTTGGTCTTTAAAGTGCACACCGTGCTTGTGCTTCCCTTCCCTGTTTTCCTCTGCATCTGGAGAGGCTCCTGGTGTCTTTGCTCCTTGGTGGCACCATAGGCCAGCAGAGGCGCAGGCTTCGGGCTCAGTGGGGCTGCACCCTGGCCCTTCCCGGGTCCTGGAACCCAGTGCTGCCTGGTTCCCGTGAGCCGGGGCAGCGGCCGTGTGTGGCTCCCCTCGTCTTCAGCATCCTGAGAAGCACGTTCTCTGGAAGATTCTCAGGGCGGTGTGCAAATTATAATTCTGCCAAGTCGGACGTAGATGGCACTGTTGCTCTGTGTGCTCCCCACGTTTGCTGGTCAGTAAGTCCTTCCAAATTTTTTAGCTTTTTCTTAGGGTTTTCAACTGTGGAGAAAACCAAATCAGACTCTAGCCACCGTGGTATTTGTTAATGTTTATGTGAACTTCGTTTTTATTTGAATCTTTTATTGTGAGATGGCTTTAGAAAGTTATGCAGTAACAGGTGTAGAAGAGTCGGACCTGTGAACAGTGAGGAGCTGTGTGCTTACCTGTCACTGAGGTGCATGTGCACAACTGGAAGCCCCACGCAGCTGGGAGGGAGGGTCCTATGCTCTGAGGGCTCAGCAGCACCCAGGTTGCGTTTCTGGCAGCCCAGAGCACAGCCACTTTGTGCCCTTGCAGACTTCCCAAGTCACTTGCCTGAGTTTTTAAAAATATTTGATCTTTCGGCAGAGAAAATCAACTTGACATTAAAATTAAGAAAATGATCTTACCTTTGAGTGTGTACGTGGTAGCCGTTTGCCCAGCCAAGTGGAACTCCCCGTGAGCATCGAGGGGCACCAGCAGACATGGCTGGCAGCATCAATACTGGGAATGGCATTGGGCCTTTGGGTTGTGGATTGCGTACAAGTGACAGTTTGTATGAGGACACTCAGGCCCTGCCTGCCAACCACGTGTACTCAGCCTACTGCAGCTACCGTTTTTAGTTCTCTGTGGCAGTGACACTTGGGGGCCCTGTGTCCCCACTGGGTGGTCTGTCTCTGCTGTGGGAACCAGCTGGGGTTCACATAGCAGGCCTGGGTCACTCGTCCAGGGCCTGGCCAGTGTCAGCTTTGTTCAGTCTCCACTTGAGCTGTTCTTCCACTGCTTTTATAGCTCCCCATGGAAAAGTGGCTGTTGAAAATAATTACGCTCTCTGCTCTAAACCTGTAGGGGGGGACTTCAAGTATAGTGGTAATATTCAGACTTAACTTGGTTTAAAATAGGCCTATATAACAAAATATAAAGATTTTAGCATTCAGCAAAATTACATGGTGAAACAAGGAGAGTGCCCTATGACTTGAGTTTGTTGGTGCCCAGGAAGGGAGAAGTAGACCTTTCACAGGCCAGGCCACGGGGTGCCTGCGCCCCAGCTGCATGCAGCCTGGACTTTGCCTGCAGACGGTTGGCACACAGACAGCCCCGCCTGCCGGCTGGTGAGCTGCAGGGCCCAGTTCTTCCCGGATCTTGTCTCAGGACACATTCACGCAGAACAGAGCGCTGGGGTGCCGTCCACTGGCAGCTCTGTCCGGCTGCCCTGTGTACAAAGCACACCAAGGCTCCTTTTTAAATGTTTCCAAAAGGCCATCGTCTGCCAGCCCTGAGGCTTTTTAGAGGCTCCCTTGGGTTCTTGGGGTGACACAGCCCCAAGGTCTTGGCAGAGAGGCTGTGCCTGGGATGGCTGCGTGGGAGGGAACCCCTGTGGTGAGGCCACGAGCTCCTGTGCAGATGCTGTGAAAACATCAGTGCCTGCCGTGTGACACCCGTGCTCTGTGACACTCCTCTTGGTGGCTTGGCGTGATCCCTGTTGGTCTTGTCTTGCAGGGTTCAGGACAAGTTGGAGGTGCTGAATTACACGACCATCCCTGTCTATCTCCCGGAGATCACCATTGGGGCTCACCAGAGTGACCGGGTCTTCCGAGCCTTCAGAGAGGTGAGTAGAAAGCCTGAGGGCCAGCCAGGCTGGGGTGGTGGTGGCCGCAGACACCACGTCACTCCTCTGAAGAGTGGCTTGCTGCCTTGCCCTTCTGCAGTCCTACTGGGGTCCTCAGGTGGAGGCAGGAGTAGTCGTGTTCTGGTGGCCCTGGCCTCCTGGCATACAGCTATCTTGATGCACACACGTCCTCTGTTCCTGCGCCACCATCTCCTCTCTGCTGTCACCTCAACTCTCATGTCCGTCTGTGAATCATGAGGCTCACGTTTCTACACAAGGGCCTCCAACCAGTGGGAGCACCGGGCCTGACGTGGGCAGGAAGTTGGGGGCCAGCCCATCCCACTCATACTGTCTGTGATTTCCACGCCTTCCAGTGGATTGTGTATCCCCGTTGGCATGGAGAGTCATCCCCAGCCAGACTCTGAGGGAGGGACAGGGGCCAACAGGGGAGCCGGGGCTGCTCTGGTCGTTGGCTACTGGCAATGTGTGCGTGATCGTAGTGGGGTCTGCACTCTGAGCTGAGCAGGGGACCCGTGATGGGTTTGGAGAGGGTCGCTTCTGCACTGCTGTGATTTCAGGTGGGTGCTGCAGGTCCCCCGAGGCGCGGAGGGTGTGTGCCACCTCCCTTGAGGCACTTACTTGGCTCCGTGCCTGTTTTTCTGGGGAATGGACCCTTGAACCCAGGGCCTATGCATGCCAGGCACGTGCTCTACTCTGATCCATGCATCTCCAGCCCATCACTTTCTTTTTCGTGAATTCTTTGGGTTGTTCTGACGTGACTTCTTCCAGTGTAGACTTGGGGAGACGTGTGGCCCCACAGACCCTGCCTGCACGCCGTGGCCCTGCTGCTGCTCCTGCTGTCCTGGCGCCCTGCAGGGTGCCTGCGCCGCTCCTCCTAAGCAGGCTGTGTGGACCTGCAGCTTCCTCCTCGGGCTCCTTCCACCTGCCACCATGAGGAGAAGCTGTGCTCACTGCAGGCCGCGCCTGCCCTCAGCTCTCCGGCTTCCGTCTTACTGGCCTGGGAGCTGTTCCTGGGGCGTGGTGTCGGCCAAGCTGCCCTGTGGGCGCTGGGCAGCTCCTGGTCGCCTAGCGGCCACTCCGACTTTAAAGCTTTCTTCATTTGATGTTCACGTGGCTTCCAAGCTTCTTTAATTGATGTTTATTGGGTAGCTTTTTCTACACCCTGTAATTTCAGCTTCTCTGTGTGTTTATATTTAATGTAAGTACCTTATAAAAAGCTTGTAGGTGTTTTTAAGTCTTTTGTCAGCCTGAACGTTGTTCAGATTTAATGCAGTTCTTGATAAATCTGTAAATAGCTTGTCTTGCTCTCATGGTTTTCTTACCTGTTGATGCTGTTGTCCCTCTCTGGATGAAGCTGTCCTCCCGCCCTCACCCCTTCTGTTGCCTGCTGGTCCTCGTCCTCCTCACAGCTGGCAGTGACTGACCTGGAGAGGCGGGCGCTCCTCTCTGGCTGCCTGGAGTCCCATGGCGCCTGTGGTTCTCCTGACTTTGCAGCGCTGCTCGGCCCTGTGTCCTCGGTCTGTGCCCTTCCAGCCCTCAGCCATGCTCCGGTGCAGTCGGGGTTGATGTGATGCTCAGCCTGTGTCTTTGCCTTGCTGTGGCTCACACCTGCCTGGCACCTGCTTCTGTTCAGGATCGCTGGCCTTCGGCCTGGAGAATCCTTTGCAGATAACAGATTCTCACATTTATTTAAAATGGCCTTTAGTTGGTCTTCATTTTCTTTTATTTTGGAGCATCAAACAAGAATAGAAAATTAGCTTTTTCCAAACCACACTGCCCAGTTGGCAGAGTGCCACCCCTGCGTCACACCTCCTCCCTGGTCAGTCACCCCATGGACGAGAGCTTCGTCCTCTCTGATGGGCACTGAGGCTGGAGAACTCTGTTTGAATGTGTCCTCCTCACAGGCACAGACGCGTCCCCTCACCAGCCAGCAGCCGTCCTGGTCCATTAGAGCAGGCACATGCCTGTGCTGCGTGCTGGGCCACCTGCCACAGACCTGGTCAGCTCTCCAGGCCAGTGCTGTGGCTCAAGCAGAGACCCTGCCAGGCCTGGCTCCTGGTCTCCTTGGTCTGCACTAGTTCCTGGGGCTTTGCCCAATGTTCAAGGCCTTGACACTCAGGAGGACCCCGGGACTGTATTTTGAACATCTCTCCGTTTGGTTTTATTGGCTGTTTCCCGTGGTTAGGGTGGTTTTCCTTCTCCCTGTGGGACTGTTGGCGAACTTCTCGCCTCCCTTGAGAGTGGCATCCTCACTGTGAGGTCACCCAGTGGCCTTTGGTGGCCAGTGCACCCTGGGCACTTCGAGGCTGTGCAGGAGTTCTCCCTGAGGCTTCGCTCGGTCGTTGGAGCAGCCCTTGGATTCTGGATTGCGTTGGCCGTTGGAGCAGCCCTTGGATTCTGATTGCGTTGGTTGTTAACAAGGTGGTTGCCGCGCTCTTCGGCTTTTCCAGGTCTGTCTTTCCTCCTGTGGCTCTAGGTAGTGTCCAGTCTGAGGAAACCTTTCTCCTACTGCACTGGTTTGTTCCTTAATGTGTCTGTGTCACCATGGACCGCCCCGCACCCCAGGCTCCTGTCCACTCAGCTGCAGTTACCTGTGTCTGCTGGGAACAGTGTGTCCAGCCCAGCGTCTCTGCTCCATTGTGACCCTGCAGGGTTCTCCCAGTGCCTGTGCCACCGTCTCAGAGTGGGAAGCCTGGTTCCATCCTTGGTGTGGTGTTTCCTTGCTGGATCGATCCTAATGTGTGACAAGCGTGCCATCTCAGCTGCCATGCTGGCCTGCCAAGATTACCACCGTCCGCCCCAGCCCTAGCTGGGCAGAGTCACTTTAGGACTGAACTTGGGAGGAAGGAGACTCTGATTCTTGAAGAATACGTGCATTGGGTGTAGACTCCCACAGTGCTATTTTTTGCAGCATTTACAAACTTTCAGTATTTCATAACTCGGTCCATTGCGTTTCTCTTGAGAAGCTTGCTATCTCTTTGAGATCTTTCCGACTTTTTTTGTCCCTGGGAGTTTTGTAGCTGAACAAACAAGATAGGTCTTGGTTGGACTTTGTTTATGGCAGTGTTTGCAAGACCTGCTCCTGGCTCAGGCTTCTGCTGCTGGTGTTGAACCTGCATTCCTGCGTGGTCTGTGTCCGCCTGTGGTCCCCAGGCTCCTTCACTTTGTCCTGCTTGGTTTTCCTGGCTCTTACCCTTGGAGGCTCATTTTCCCACGTTATGGGACTCTGGAGTCTTGGCTCCTCTTTGTGGGGCCTCTGCCCTGGGCATCGCCTCCTGAGGAGGACTGGCCGGTAGAATGTAGGAGCCCGTCACACGCAGGGTGCTCAGATACCGCCTGGCCTTGGTGTGAGTGTGTCCCAAGTGCCGTGTCCATTGCTCGTCCTGCGTCTTGAGCCAGCTCTGGCCGCCCTTCCCTAGGTTCTGTGCCTAGGATCGTGGAGCGACTGGGAGGACAGCCACCTGGCGCTCAGCCAAGCCCCAGGCGCAGCCCCCAGCATGGCCATCTTGAGCTCCCCCTTCAGTCTCTCACCCCTCGGCAGGTGTCTGACAGGTCTCCAGCATGGGGTGATATCGGGGTGCAACAGGCCTTGTCCAGGAGCCTGCATCCTCGTGGGCAGCAGGGATGAGCAGTACGCAGGAGGCATCTGAGACCAGGCCAGACACGGGCAGCAGCCCACCTCGGGCAGGGAGCAGGCGGGCAGTCAGTCTGCGAGCAGGAGAGCCTCCTGCCCGGTAGAGCCTCCTGCCCAGGAGCATGCCGAGGGCATCCAGGCAAGGCCAGGAGGGCCTGTGGGCTGCAGAGAGGACTGGTGCTCTCAGGCTGTGGGCCCACCAAGGCCTCCCTTGCAGCCGTGTGTGTTGGACGTGACAGGGCCAGGGTGGAGGTTGGGAAAGGTTGGGAGCATCTCCCCAGTTCTGGTTTAGACGCTGAGGCCTGAACGTGGCCYGAGGCCAGTGTCCTCCTTCCCCCAGGCGCCCCTCTTTGTGCAGCCAGGTCTGTTCTTGCCTCTCAGGTTTTCAAAACTACGCAGACGGTGGGCTTCAGGGTGGGTGGGGAAGCTGGGGGAGCGGCCCAGGCCTGGCGTGGCTGCTTTCCTCACCCGGGCAGTGCTTACTCACAGACAGCACTGGAGTCCACTGAGTGGCTACTCTGGCTTTCAGAGAAGGGAGGTGGCTCTTGGTGACAGTGGACGTGGGCGAGGGTTCTCTGGGGCTGGGTGTGCTCAACGTGGGTATCCCACTGACTGGTTTAGTTCTGCCAACTGACCAGCGCAGGAGCCCATGAAGGCTGGGCCAGCTGAGCCCGAGCCCGAGCCCGAGCCCGAGCCCGAGCAGGTTGGGAGTGAGCTTGTCACAAGAGGAAGCCGTCAGTCCCACTTCCTGCTACAGGAGTGTAGCGAGACCGCCCCGAGCAGAGCCTGCAGGTGTTGGGAAAAGTCCCGGCTGGTGGGGGACAGGCTCGCCAACTCCTGCGCAGCTTGGCCTAGTGACCTGCCGTTGCCAGGAGGTTCCAGGGTGTGGGCCTGGTTCTGACTGAGCAGGCTGCCTTTCACACCGTGCTTGCTCAGCAGTCACAGGAGGGTCGCTTCTGCCCCTGCAGCCTCACGCTCCCCAGGCCTCGCTGCACTGGCACGCCTCTCCTGGCCTGCCCAGAGGAGCAGTACTGCTGCTGCCACCAGCGTCCGGCAGGGCTTGCCCCAGCTATCAGGTCTGGTGGCCCCGGAGCTGCCTGCCCACCTGAGGCTGCCAAGGAGGACCAGCTCACCGAGTGCTGGGCAGGGGCCGACCTGTGGAGGTGTGTGCAGAGCGCAGCTCCCGTCCCAGGCACTACAGGAGGGTCGCAGCCAGCAGGCCCATGCAGGATGCTGCTGTGACGACTGGGTCATCACAGACCGTGGGGACGGTCTCAGGAGAGCACGGGGATCTGTAGCCACCTTTTACTAGCTTGTCATTTTATTGTTTTTAAAAGCCAAGACCTCCTGAGTGTGTGTAAGGAAAGAGCAGATGCCACTGGTTGGTGTGCAGGAGGTATGAGAGAGAGACCGGGCAGCGGGTGGGATGGGGCCTAGGGCCTCATCTCTGGGCCCAGCAGAAGGGCAGGGGCCACGCCAGTGCCAATCACTGCTCGTTTTATAAGACCTCCAAGCTCCTCTCCAGAGGGGTGCAGGGGTTCAGGGATGCTGCGCAGGAGAAGGACTCACTGCTTTCTTGGTGGTGCAGCGTGCGTGCGTGGGCTGGTGGGAGCCTTCCCGTGGCCCCACCTCAGGACCTCGCTGACTCCAGGTTGAAGTTTCTCGTCCCCTTGTTGGCAGCCACTGGTGCACACGCAGGGCAGGTCCAGCTGCTGGGCTTTCTACAGTGTTCACACTCTTGTGTCAGCACCATTTCCAAGGTGGCAGAATCACGTGGTGGCCAGAGTGTCTGGAAGCAGCTGGCGCCACTTCGGAGCCGTGGCACCAGGCCGCCACGCTGGGCCGCGGAAGCCGCCTTTTCCCAATCGCTGCACACTCAAGTGGACAGTTCAGATAGGCTGTCCAGGGAGGTAAGGGCCTGGTGCCCGCACCCCAGCAGTGTGGCCATGCAGGACCAGGACGCAGAGATGGCATTGATGGGACTCAGAGCCTCAGGTTCCTCCACCTGCTGGCGTCGTGGCTGGGGGACTGAATGCCAGCAGAACGTGGCGGTTGGGGTGAGTGGGCCACCCTTGCCTGGCAGGCGGAAGCTGCAGCTGTCTCTCCTGGCCTTCAGTGGGAGCCCAGGGAGCGCAGCGTGGGGACCTAGACCTCCCACTGCTCTGTGGTGGCGGAGTCGAGGCCCTGAGGCCCGAGTCTCAGAAGGTTCCCACCAACCCATTGCTTGGGCTCTGCAGGTCTTGCCTTTGCTTGAACTTGGACCCCTCTGTTTGGTGCAGTGATCTGCATCGGGCGGCYTCTGGAAGGGGCTGCTGCCCTGGGGCTGGCTGCACGGGGAGTGGTTCTCCCAGGAGCTTGCTTTTTCTGCTTACCCGCTCAGTCCTCAGGCCCTGGCCCCTTCACTGCTTGTCCCCGCAGGACAGCTCCTAGGCCTTCAAGCCTGCCAGCACGAGCCCTGCCTCTCTGCGCACTCACCTGGAGCCTGGACGCTGCATGGGGACACAGATGCAGGCACACCCGTCCCTGCAGACCTGCTGGGCAGGAGGCAGGGCAGCCGTGGGCATGGCATGGTGTGAGGGAGGAGGTGTGGTGTGGTCCCAGGGCCTGGGGTCTTGACCCTCAGGATTCTCACAGGAGAAGTGAAGTTGGCCCAGCAGGAGAAGGTCAGGGGCAGCTGAGGGCAGGACTGCTGGCCTGAGGGCATGGGGCTGCTTGGTGGCCACCTGGTGGTGTGTAAAGGGGAGGGCAGTGGGCCAGCGGAGCATGCTGGTGCTGCTGCGGGTGGTGTGAGAGGCTTCCTAAGCACCGCCAGAGCATGTCCCTGCCGTGCCAAGCAAGGGCGTGGCCAGCGTGCGGGGGAGAGTTAGGAAAGGTGCTCAGGACGGTGGACTGGGGCGAGGGAGGATTCCAGGGCTGTTTTGAACGCCTCGCCGGCTCTGGGAGACCTGGGAGTGAATCCTAGAGGGTGGACAACAGAGTTAGGCTCAGAAAAGTTATTGGAGGTGACAGTGCAGGTGAAGGTACAGGGCGGTGGCCCAAGACTTTCCCAGTAGGAGGAGTGGCTTTGATCATGAAGGGCAGGAGACATAACCCTGGGCGTATTTCCAGGACGGCTTCAGCCCCCTCCYGTGTGGGTGCCTGGGCCAGGTGCACAGCTCAGTCTGGTGCCCTGGCTTGTAGAGCTGGCAGGGGGCTTGGAAGGGGCTGTGTTTCGAGGTGGTCTCGGGGGAAGCAGGACCTGGCAGAGGCAGGGGCTGGCGCTCACAGCAGTGACTGTTGAGTACCACGGGCACCTGCTGTGTGCTGGGCACCGTGTTGTGGCCACAAGGAGGCGCCTGTCCCTCCCACTTGCAGAGGCGTGGTCAGCATGCAGGTGCCTGGGCGGTGCACAGCCCCTGGCCTGCCGCTGCAGCAGTCGTACTGGGTGGGGAGCGTTTCCTGCTCTGCCGACTGACGTGGGCACAGGTGAGCAGCCAGAGACTGCTGCAGAGGACGAGGCAGCTCGGGTTTTCATGGGGGTGGTTTTGTTTTGTGTCTTCATGGGTCCTGGGACCTTGGCATTCTTGACCAGTCCTGCCACTGGTCTGGCTGGAGTGCTAGAGGCTCTCAGTGCCTGTCAGCTTCCAGGTGACTGCCCCGTGCCTGGCCACTGTGCCTGGGGATCCGGGATTTCACCCCGGGTGGCACTCAGAAGAGCAGGAGGACCTGGGATCCCAGCAGTACTTGTTAACAGGCTTCCATCCGTGACCTCCCAGTTCTTGCTTGGAGCCTGAGCACCTGTCAGCAGGCCCGCTCTCCACAGCCACTGTCCAGCATGAAATCAAGCCACTTTTCAGTTCCGCACAGAGCGGCTTTGTGGTCTTTGTCTCCCTGACTTGGTCCCTTCCCGCCAGTGAGGCCAGGGGCTGCTGAGAGGCCGAGCTCCTCCCGTGGATCCAAGGGCCGAGGCGGTGGCCAGGACGGCAGAGTCTTCTGCTTTCTGACCTGCTATTTTTTATTTCTTAACTATCTCAAGTTGTTTCATCCTCAGTCTCAAATCCTCCTTTACCACAGAGCTCTCTTTAATACCTCCGTTGTGCTGACACTGTGGTCTGGCCCTTAGGGACTTCACCACAGTGGATTCACCTGCAGTCAGCAGTGGGCACCAGGAGAGTTACCGAACCTGTAGAGGAAGACCACCGCCCATGGTGGTCGGAATGTCCTCGTGCCGTTCAGCCCAGAGCTCCCCTGGGAATCTGGTTATGAAGTCAGAGTCCAGATCTCAGCTAGAGCAGGGCTGGAGGAGACGGGTCTGCCTGCCTTCGTCCTGCTCTGCAGAACCCAGCAGCTGGCATCAGTCTGTCACCTCAGTTACCCACATAGGAAATCAGCACAGCAGGGTGGGTTTGCTCGCCACTGCTGGTGACCCGTGTGTGAGGACGTGCTGACCTGAGTGGGGGCTCAGCATGGCCTGGAGGTCCAGAGCGTCACTGTCTGGACACACAACTGTCTGTGGGCGCTGGGAGGGGCTTGCTGTCCCCAGCGTGTGAGCAGGTGCTTGGGAGCCCTCCTGCCGTTCACGGCTGGTGCCAGTTGAGGGGTGAACACTGGGGACTGCACTGCCGTGGTGTGCATCCCAGTGAGCATCCCAGCAACAGGTGGCCTGCTTGTACACAGACACTAAGACTGTGTGGCAGACAGAGGGTGGCTTTTTGAAACTTGACGTTGACAATGGAAATATTTCTCTTGAAATTGACTGTGATCCTGACTTGTGGAGAACATAATAGAAGTCTTATGGAAATAGCACACTGAGGAAATGGTCAGAGGTCTCCATGATGTTATTTCTTACAATTAACGACAGCATTCGGAGCAGAGCTCATCTGTGTACACGTAGTGATGGAAACAGGAGCTGACCAGAATCCCCRCGTCCCTCAGAGGCCCAGAGAAGGCAGACCCGCCGTCCCTGACGCAGCCCTTTCCTGCGTGCAGCTATGTTCAGTCCTGTCTCCTCTGCGCTCCCTGTTTACAGGAGCTCCACTGGGGTCCGTCTCTGGGTCCCTGTGTCCCTGTGTGTGACACCAGCACTGAGTGTCCTCCAGGAGGACTCTGAACAGGGCTGTGGGTGAACGCCTCGTTGCCCCCGAGGTCCAGCCTGCAGGCTGGGGACAGCCCCCACTGCCCGGTGCGCTCCTCCTCGCGCGGTGGCCAGGAGGCCCGGGTCTCCCTCTCCTTTCCCGGCCGCGTGTGCTCTGCCCTGTGTGAACGGAGAGGCTGGTGGTGGGATGCTGACCCGAGTCCTGGGCAAGCGGATCCGGCATAGACGCCACTGCCCGGAGCTCTATTTGAGAGCAGGAGGCCCTCGCCAGAGTCTAGGGGCCCCATGCAGGTTTGGAAGCTCCTTCTGTCACCCCCACGTGAGGCAGAGGGGCCGGGAGCCTGGTGGGCCTCCTCAGGAGAGGCTAACACCCACGCCGGTCACACATCTGGGCAGCGCAGCGGTACAGCAGCCTGGACCAGGCCTTTCACAGGTTGGGTGGCGGCTGGCGCTGCTCCTGCCCACGGTCCGGTCCGTTGCTGGCTGTCAGTGGGTGTTCGGGTCATGATGGGGAAGCCTGTTCGCAGGCCCTGCCCCCTCCTGCATCGTTTCCCCCAGTGACACCCTCCTGGTGTCTGTAGGAACCCGGGGGGGGGGTGCTGACTGTCCAGGTCCCCGCCTCAGGTGGCAGGCCTGCAGGGGGGCAGCATCCCGCAGCCCTCCCTCAGGCAGAGTGGCTGGGGAGTGCAGGGCGCACTCTGCACTCTGACACCGGCCACTTCTTCCTCCCCAGCTGCCAGGCCGCAGGTACCGCCCCGGGTACAACGCCGACGTGGGCGACAAGTGGATCTGGCTGAAGTGAGCGGCGCCCACCGGGCTGTCACGGCACGAGGATGCTTCTGTCCCGTCCCTCTCACAGACCCCACAGAGCTGTGCAGCTGCGGGATGCAGATGGCGGTGAGCTGCGCGGAGGACCCAGCAAATGCAGCCCACCCAGTGCGGCCTGTGGAGTTTGGGAAACAACTTCCCTTGCCAGGCCTCGGGCCTTCTGGCTGTGTTCTGAAGTCACCGTGATTGTCACGGGGGGAGGAGCGTCATTTGCTGTCAAGGTGTCCGCCCAGCTCCGTCAGCCACAGTGGCAYGCTGTTCCTCTGACTTGAAGAAATAAAGCTGTTGCTGTGGAGTCCCCTCCGCGTCTGCACACGCCTGTCTGTCGCACATGCGCGTCCCCCGGGGTGGGACAGCGTCTCTGAGGGTCTGTTCTCCTTTTAAGTCTGCGCCAGAGCAAGTGAAAGGGAGGAGGAGAGCGGTCAGCTCTCAGAGGTGGAGGAGACCCTCCTGCTGGCTGCCCAACTCTCCTGCAGGGGATTTGAGCCTAGCCGGAGCGGAGAACAGGGCGCTGGGTCGCCCCGCGTTGGTGGCTGTGACGAGAGCAGTGAGAGTCACCTCATTGCTCACCTCTGCTGGCACTCGGAAGCGCCCAGCCTAGCTGGTCAGGCGTCCAGCTGTGACTCCTACGTGACTCTGCCGCTTGGCTCCTGAGCTCCGCTGGGTCCTGCCAGTAGCCGTCACCCSGTGTGATGTGCCTTTAAGTTGGTTAAAGTCAAATGCAATTTAAAGTGGAAGTCCTTAGTTGCAGTGGGAACAGTTCAGGTGCTCAGTGGCTTCAGTACTGGGCAGAAGAGGACATTTCCTGATGGAGGAAGTCCTGTTGGCCTCCCTGCTGTGGAGCACGCTGGGGACGCATGCTGCCCTCCYTCCCCCTCCTCCCTCCCTCCTTCCTCCCTCCTCCCACTGTCTTCTTGCACTCCTTAAGGTTGAAAAGTTTGCTGGTGGCTTTTGTGCTGGGTCCAGATTTAAGTGGCCACTGTTTGGGTCATTAGACGAGAGAGTGGCCAGGCATGGGGCCAGGCCTGGAGTGTGTCTTGGTCTGAGCACTTGAGAGCCCCTTCAGGTGAGGAGGGAGAGGGAGACGGGCTGTACCTTCTTGGTGTTGCCAGTGCTTGCGCTGGGCCTGAGTGGTGGGTGGCAGTGCCTCAGAGCCAGGAGGGCTGCCTGTGGTCAGCCCTGCACAGGAGCGGAGTGGACCTGGCCTGCGGGAGGCCACAGGCATGTGCGTTGACCTGTGCCGTCCCCTGCTGCAGCGTGGCGTGTGCAGCTCGCAGTGCTGAGGAAGCCCATCTGCTCCGTCTTAGGTGTTTCGTGCGYATGTCGGGCAGAGGAAGGCCGTCAGACAGTCCAGTCTCTCTCCACTGGGGAGCCCTGAAGAGGTGGCCGCGGATGCCCCACCCCTCACTTCGGCAGGGTACAGGGGCTGTTTTCACAAAACACTTAGAGTCCTTAGACACAGCCCGGGCTAAGGCGGGCACATGTTTCAGGCCTCCCTTCCCTGGGGGATCTCGTGCTCTGAAGCCCAGGAAGGAGGCAGCCATCACCCAGCGCGGGGGCCGCGGCCTGCATGGAGCTGCATGTGTGGGCGGCTCTGTGTCTCCCCGAGTCCCTTCCTGGTCTCTGTTACATTGTGGAACCAGATGGTTAAGAACATGGAGCTGCTTAGGGGACGTAACACACGGTTCCTTTTGTCCACCTCGAAGAGCAGGACTCCCTTGCCCTGGCCCCAGGGCAGAGTACCATGTGCTGCCCACTCAGCATCCAGCTGTGGGGATGGCTGCCTGGACCCGACAGGCACTGTGGCAGGAGCAGACTTGGGTACCAGGTGCACCGCCCAAGCTTGGGGCTCCGCAGCCAAACAGGAGACGCCCTTGTACTGTCCTTTCTGTACAAGCTCCTGGCCGCTAATGGGCTCAGAATCCCTGAGCTTCTAGCTGGCTGGGCGTATTGGAGCTGCTCTGCTGTAGGAAAGCACACCCTGGGCTCGTGGGCAGGTCTGCAGGGCGGAGCCTGGTGGAGGGCTGGAGAGCACCACCACTCCTGTGCTTCTGTGCCTGCTGAAGGAGGACGGTGGGAGCAGCCCTGGCCAATCAGAATCAGGTGAGTGGCTTAGGGGTCCCCTCTGAGTGTACAGGAAGCCGGGCACTGAAGGCCCGCTCCCAGCAGATGCAGACCAGAAGCCAGCAGGCGCCTCAGSAGACACCACCCGCACCACGTGGGACTTCACCAAGGAAAGCCCGTTGAGAGAGGGACACCTGTGGCCTGGGACAGTGGGCCTCCCCGTTGGAAGGCAGGACACTGGGTCATGATGGTGAAGCCTGTTTGCAGGCCCCGCCCCCTCCCCAGGGGCTGCAGTTCCCCCAGTGACACCCTCTCCATGGCACTGGGCGTCCCACCCGAAGCCCACAGGCTGGAGAGCCTCAGCTCTAAACCTGCCCCAGGAGTGGTGAGGCCGCACCCTGGCCACCTCCACCCAAGAGGCCCGGGAGGCAAGTCACGTCCCATCTTGGGTCAGGTGCTCCTTGGCGTGCACCGTTTTCTTAATGGTTTTGAAATCTTAACTAAACTTTGTTTTGTGATAGAACACTTCACGTTTCACACCTGAGGGTCTTCTGAGTGGAAATCCTGACCCCCGGCTGCATCCAGGGCTGGCCACGCTGGGGGGAAATCCTGACCCCTGGCTGCATCCAGGGCTGGCCACGCTGGGGATTGTCCTCGGTGGACGTGTCCCCTCTGAGGCTGGGCGAGTGGTTCCCTTCCACACCCTGGCTTTCAGTTCCTGCCAGATGGTTTTCTCTGGCACGCTCACCTAGTGACATGTGTGTCCCCAGAGCTCAGGCGTCCCCAGCACTGCTCTCCGCACACAGATATCATCCTCTCAAGAGGAGCCGCTGCAGCCTAGGGAGAGGCCCAGGCCAGCCCCAGCATGGGGTCAGGACCCTGTACAACTTAAAAGCCATGGGACCAGGTGAACCCAGCAGAGCCAGCCTGTCAGGGCTGGGAGGGCGGGTGAGCCCCCGGGCACCAGCCCAGGGGACAGCTGGAGAGGACCAGGTGGGGGGTGGGCCCCAGGGCACCAGCCCAGGGAGGACTGGGAGGGCGGGTGAGCCCCCGGGCACCAGCCCAGAGACAGCTCGGGAGGGACAGGTGAGCCCCAGGGCACCAGCCCAGGGACAGCTGAAGAGGACCCGGTAAGCCCGGTGCCCAGGGGACAACTGGAGAAGGCCAGGTGAGCCCACCACCCCAGGGACAGCTGGAGAGGGCCGGATGAGCCCCAGGGCACCAGACCAGGGGATGGCTGGGGAGGGCTGAGTGGGCCCCAGGGCACCAGCCCAGGGGACAGCTGGGGAAGGCCAGGTGAGTCCACCAGCCCAGGGGGGTGCTGGGAAGGGCCCGGTGAGCCCCAGGGGAGGGCTGAGGAGCTGGCCATGGCCAGGTTGGGAGTGTGAACACAGGTGGGTGTGCTGGTGCAGCTGCTGCTGGGTGGTCAGGGAGAATACAGAGTTAGGCATGGAAGTGACCTGCAAGATCTCGTCGATGGAGGGGCTCAGAGCTCACTGAGGGGGTTGCAGAGGGTAGGACTAAGGAAAGGTGGGACCACGGGCGGCAGCAGATAGCTCGGGGTCCTCTGCCTGGGGCTCTGCTTCCCTGGCCCCCCGGGAGTGCATGAGACCAGGCACCTCCTCCTGCTCTTAGCTGCTGAGCCGCATCCTCGTGGGAAGCAGGGGAAGGTGGTGGCGTTTCTACCCCTGTCCTGCAGTGGGAGGAAGTGGTGGGTGCCCAGTGTCCACCCTTCTGAGGGACTGTAAGGAGTGCGCTGGCCCCAGTGGGTCCACGGTCCCCTGAAGACCAGTGTTCAGCGTCAGCCTTTGGTCATGACATGGAGACCTGAGCCATCTCAGTCTTGCTGTTGCAGGCGAAAGCGAGGCCAGGAGGACACCTCCAGGTGCAGGGCCGTACCCCGGACCTGCCCGTGGGCAGCCAAGGGACACGTGGCCACGCGGCATGTGCTGTTGTAGATGCCCTCACCTGTGTGGCAGAGGCCTCTGGCCTTCCTGGTACTCGTGAGTGACGATGGCAGTGGGCTTCGGCAGTGTCTGTGGGAGCCAGTGACCGGCTCTCCTGCGTTGGCCTGGTGTGTTCCAGGGGTGCCCACCCGAGCTGTACCTGGGTCCCTCCTAATGGCCGGCCTGCCTGTCCCTCTCCTGGCAGCTGGCCCTGCCCTCCTCTGCCCTCCCGGCTGCAGTGCTCCTGCAGCACTGGGTGCTCTGCCGCCCTCAGGTTGCAGCCCAGGTCACCTCGCCAGGAGCAGCATCCACAGACAGGACTTCCAAACCCAGAGCCTTGTCCACTGTGGCCCTACMTTGGCACTGTGGCCGTCCCCTCCCCACATCCCAGCTCAGAGTCTGTCAGCTCCCCTCACCCTGACCCCGACTTCTGCACCAGACCCTTGTCCCAAGGCCCAGCAGTCCTCACTCCAGGCCCATGCAGAGCAGCGGTCAGATGCGGTAGCCACTCCTGGGTGGACCGGTGATTCAGACTTCTCTGTGTGCCCCACCCTGAGTCCTGGTTCCCGCGGGCCTCTTAGACAGGTGGGGCTCTGCCCCCGAAGGAGCTGACCAGCTGGTCCTGCAGACACTCTGATACCCTGGCAGCTAGGCCGGGCCGAGGACAGGGTCCTGGGCTCTGGTGTCACTGGGCTCTGGTGGTCCCATGACAGGTACTGAGTGTCCTTCATGGGACTGTTTTGTAGGATGTGTCCCTGACATTGGTGGTCAGCCAGCCTAGTGAAGACATGGCCAGCCTTGGACTGGCCCAGGCCAGCTCTTCCCAGCGAGGACAGATATGAAGGCCATTTCTATGTAGTCTGAAGTGGCTATAAAGACCCCAGACGTGCCTCTTAACGCAGCCTTTTCTTTCTCCCCTGGCGAGATGGTCCCTGCTGTGGGACCTGGCCCATGGTGCTGGCGCCCTGGTCTGAACGCCCCTTCCTGACCACGCACCCTGCTTGCCATAACTCGGGGGCTGGTGAGGGACGGAGGGTGCAGACAGCTCCGTCTCCTGGGTCCTGATGTCCCTCCAGACAGGCTCACGCGCCCAGCCCTGCTCAGCTCATCTCCCACATGGACACCCCAAGGCCCAGCACAGCTCACGGGGTGCCGAGGGGCCCAGGGAGGCCTAGGAAGGGACCTGACCAGCAGTCCCTGGGCAGGGTGCCGCCCACGCAGGGCACCTGGGCTCCTCACGCACCTCTGCCACCTTCGCTCAGCCGCTCTTCCTTTCAGAGCTGACCTTTT